CGCCCCTTCCTGGGAGGCCCAACTGTCCTCAACGGCTGCTAGGGGCAGCACTGACCTGCGAAAGCCTGGTCCCCTTGTCCTCACTCAGGACTGCTCCAAGGGGTCATCCCACAACTCCCTGTACGGTAACCTCAGACTTCCACCAAGACGGTGCTACAGACGAGCTTCCCCCTCTGTCCATCTCTGCTGCCTCCCCTCCTTCCACAGGTGCTGATGCCCAGAGCACTCCCTATAAATCTCCCGTGCACTAAACTCTGGGTCCATCTGCCGGCCATGAAATCTAAGCTGCAACACCCTAGAAATCACTTCCTCGATTAGAGAGCCTGGAGAAAGTAACCTGAGGCAGGTCCCCCAGTTCTCACATGTAAATGGAGCTAATACACCTTGGCTTATCTGCCAGAGAGTTGCTGTGGGGATCAGATGAGCTAATGAAGGTGACAGCAGTCTGCGTCTGTGAAGTGCTGTACAAACATTCAGGAGTATTAACTATACCAGCATTAGGACTATGCTGCACGCTGCCACAGAAAGGGCCTTGTTGTTAAAGATCTTGGTTCTAGTCTTGCTTCTGCCTCAGATAAAGCTTTGATCATGCTGCCTCAAAGAGTATAGACTATCACCAGCCTTGTCAAGGCCCTTGCCAATTCTGTGCCAACCGCTTTTCCAGTTCCATCTCATGCATATTCTGCATTTAGCCCAAACAGTCGACCTGCTTTTCCCCCGGTATTTTACCACATCTGAGCTGTTGCTCCTGCCATCACTTTGCCTTTAATGCCAACGGCTAAGTTCTGCCCATTGAAGCCCCTAGTGTTTAAGGATCATTGCAAAGATGACGTGTTAGGAAGTGTCTCCTTCTAGCTAATGACTAACAGCTCTCCTTCCCTTCAGAGCACACTTTCTAGAAGGAATAAGCCACGCTGAGGGCTCCCCCTGCCCACGCCCCAGGGCTTCCTCACACCACCACAGTCTGCTCAGATCCACTGCTCTCACTTAGGCCACCTCTCAGCTGTCAAGTCACCGGCTAAATTTCTTACTTGACCTCACAGCAATGGTCAAGACTGTTGACTCTTCTTGGCTCTCTGAGACCCTCAGCCCTGCGATATCACTCGCTCTCTCTTGGTTCTCCTCCCACTTTTCTGACCGCTCCTTCTCAGTCTCTTTCACCAGTTCCTCTTTCCACTCCTATAAACCGTGGCCTCCACCCTCTCGGTTTGCTCTCTCCACGGCAGTTCACCCAGTCTCGTGTACAAACATGCCCCAAGTTTCTATCCAGCTAGCACCTTCCATCAACTGCAAAATCAGGCACCCAGCTGCCTCCTGGATCTTCTGCCTACAAGGTCTGTCTTCCTTACCCGTGTTTTCCTGTAGGTTGAACGTCCTCAGATGTTACCTTCTCTGTGAAGCTTTCCAACTCTCCCTGGACTCCCCATGAATTTACGTCTTCATCTATTCTCTAGGCATTTTGTTCCCACTCCTATTACGGCACTTACCAAATCACAGGACAGTGAGTGAGTTTTACACCCGAGGCCCTGAAAATCTCTCCGGTAACCGAGGGCAGGGCCTGCACCACGTTGGTCTTTGGAGTGTTGGTTCAGCTGAGCACAGTGGGAACAGTATGTGTTTCTTTACAAACACCCAAAGGGAGAGGTGCTATTTATTAGCTCCAATTTATGGAAGAAAAAAACAGGCTTAGAGAGGTTACGAGACTTATTAAACCATGTACCCCTAGCACTAGGAACATAAATATTTGTTGAAAGACTGAATACAGGTATGAGTTCAAGGTTACATAGCTAATGAACGGCAGAGCAGGAAATCAAACCCAGATCTCTCTGACTCCATATGCCACGTTCTTACCATCCCTAGAAATCCTCTTTCCTTCACTTCGGAGCAAGGTGAAAAGAGAGACAAAAGCCCCTCCCGTAGGACCTGGGCAGAAGCACTCTGCTCCATCCTTGCCTTCTCTTTGAGAGGTGAAAGAATCCCTGCTCGTCCATTCTATTTCAAACATTTTAACCACTTTCCCAGTCTCTCGTGAGTCGTTTGAATTTTTCTCCACACACGTTAAAATGTGAAAGCTCAGCTGGACAAAGCACTAAGGGCAGGCACCTAGAGTAGAAGTGCCCGTGCTGGAGGCACAGAGAAAGGTCACTGACCCAGAAGGGAAGCAGTACACACTGACTGAGGCTTTATATAAAAATACACACATTCTGTCAAGGCTGTCCCTTCCAAGCTATGAAGGAAAACAAAAAGTTTTGCTCTAAGACTCCCAAAGTCAAAACTATGAATATACATTTTAAAGTGTGGGCATTTCCATCTTCATCTGGCTTAGGTAATGTTTTTAAAAAGTCTTCTTTAAAACACTGATGATTTGGTATACTTCTTTTCCTAACAAAAACATTTTTGAATGCTAGGTGGAAACCCCCCCCACGGAAAAGTGTACAATTTCACACCTGTCCCAAACTGACGGTTGCCAACTATTCTTCAAAGGCCCACAGAACAGGGGCTTTGCTACCAGGAGGTTTCATTGTTGACACTAAGCCTAAAAGTAAGACCAGGAAGCTGGAGCAGTTCAATGCCCAAGGAAGCTGCCGTGCTCAGATTTATAGTCAAAGTTTCTAAGTTGGCGTTTGTTATGCCTGTTTGCCTAGAGATGTTCAGATGTTCACGACTGACAAGCTATCACACCTTTTCGTAGGGCAACGGTGCTGATGTGGGAGGGTGACAGTTTAGACACTGCGATGGCCGGAGTACCTCATTATGTTTCTTAAAGACACCATACTCTTACAAATCACAAGGGGTACAAAAAGGGAGAATGTGCAAAACCAGTAGTAGCACTGTGAAATATTCAAAGAGTATGTTGGTGGGTTCAGCCACCTTGTCTCCCTATATGGGAGGCACCGGGCATACTCTTGGGTGAACGAACAGCCTCTAGGAACTGGCTCACTGGTATGAAGAACATTTCACGGTACTCTAATAATCCAGCATTTATAGCAAAAAGTCTATTTTCCTGGGAAGTGAGGCTTAACATTCCTGCACAGCATTAACTAATTCCACTCTCGACAACTATAAGTATTACAAACTTTTGGTTGCAGTGTCCAGCATATCTCTGATTCATATAAACTGGTTCCAACATTTCATCTAATCTAGCCTCTTTCTACTACACAACGACTGAGAAACAACAATAATGGTTGGGATGCTTCCATTTAAAAAAAAAGTATATTTCTATAATGTTCATCAAAATTAATTGTGTTCACAAGACAACTACAAGTGGCATGTTGAACAATGAATTGAATCGGACATCACATCCTAAATATGTCTGAGCTTAAGGTATTTCAGTACGCTTACCTTCTGTGCATTTTCCCCATCTTCAACTGCGAAATCCAGTCCGGGCTGCCTGGGGCTGATCAAATCTTTCAGTGTTAAACAATTTACCTCCATCTGTAACGCAAAATTACATTAGAAAATGATTTTACAATTGGATGTGTTCTCCTCCAACAAAAGTATCTATTACTTGCTCGTGAACGTGAACTTCCCCTCCCTAAACTTGTCCTGGGAATTTCCAGGAGGGTAGCCACCCAACTCTCTAAAACGCACATGAACCAACACAAACGCTTCAAGTGTGCTTAGTGATGACTGAAAACCTGAGATGAAAAAAAATCGACAAAAGTAGTAATTTTTAAAGAAAAGCAACAGGACAAAAAAAGTTACCAAGTCAGGAGGGTATAGGGCAAATCTGTCAGAAAGGACAGGGTCTCCTGGGTCAGTTAATTTTGGCGCAAAGAACTGGGAGGAATTCGGCTTTGAGGGGGTTTCGAATCAGGGGAGAAGGAAACCTGATCGCTAGACCAACCCCACCGAATGCTCAGCGCAGCCCCCTCCCAGGCCTCCAAGCAGACCCCAAGGATAAGCTCTTCCAACGAAACCCCAAACCATGAGGAAGAGCAAGTCCCCTCTATTGCCCAGCCGGAGAGAGAGCTGGGACCAGGACAACCCACGCGCGCCTGGTGCGGCGGCAGAAATGCCTCGATTCCCCGCCAGCCGGGGAGGGGAGGGGTGGCAAGCTGGCAGCGGGGCGGGAAGGGTCCCTTTCCCCCCAATTCCCGCCTCCTCGCCAGCGTTGGGGCCGCACGCTACTTACTCCCGCTTTGCGAAGGAGCCTTCCTGCCTCTACGGGGACCACCACGGTCCCGGCCCCGCGCGGGATCAGCGGGGCGAGGCGATCAGCAGCCGGGCGGCGACATCGGGCGGGGACGGCGAGGCGCGCAGATCCCCGCTCCGACTGCCCTGCGCTGGCGGGGACCGCGCGGCGTGCGCACAGCGCCAGCGCTCCGACCGCCGAGCGCGACTGCGGCAGGGGCAGACCCCGCTCAAACACCTCCGCTGGCGCCTTGAGACCGAATTTGAGAACGCACCAATCCGCGGCGGCCGGCGGCGGCCCCGGCCAATCGCGCGGCGGCACGGCCCGGGCGCGCCGCCCCGCGGAGTCTTGGCGCTCCCGGCCGCGCGTCCCGCCCTCGCCGCCCGATTGTTGCCGCCGCGCCCCCTCCCCCTTCCGGGTACCTGGAAACCTCGGGCCGCGAGCCCGTCCGTGCGGCGGCCGCGGGAAGCCGAGGTGGGGGCGGCGCGGGCGCGGGCGCGGGAGGAGGAGGAGGAGGAGGTGGCCCTTTTGTTATGCATAAAAGGCCCGCTCCTGTCCCCTCGCCTTGCCGCGCCCGGAGACCGCGGGCACGGCCGCGGCAGGGAGAAGCAGATGGAGTTTGGAAAAACGATCCACACACACTGGATGCTGCCCCCCGCCCCCCGCGCGGAAGCCGAGTTGTCCAGGCTTGTTGGGGCAAACTTCCAGCGCCGGGGCGGCACGTGAACCATGGTTACCGCGCTGTGCAAGCAGATGGCACGCCAGTTAGCCCTGGCAACTCGACTGCCAGCAGAACCAGCTGTTTGCTTCTCCTTTTGCAAGTCCGGAAAAGTTTCTGGGTTCCCTTTTCAGAACATCGTCAATAATTAGAGGCAAAAAAAAAGCCTTATTAAATAAGTCTTTGCAATATGGATTAGCATTTTGAGAAACAGTCGAGAAAATTTCCTCAACAACGTTACTGAGTTGTTTTAAATGTTTCACTTCCTTCAACTTTAGTTTCTTATTTAAAATGTGGCTATTGATAGGGACAGCCGAGTCTGTGTGTGTGTGTGTGTGTATTTAATAGACGTTTTTGTTTAGAGCAGTTTTAAATTTACAGAAAAATTGAGAAGAAAGATCAGAGCGTTCCCGTATATCTGGCACCCGGTTTCACCTATTTATTAACATCTTATATTTGCATAGTACTTTTGTTAAAATTAACGAACCAATGTTGATACGTTGTTCTTGACTGAAGTCGTTATTCAGATTTCTTTAACTTTTACCTAATGTCCTTTTTCTGTTCCAGGAGACCACATTACATTTAGTCTTCTTGTCTCCTTGGGCTCCTCTTGGCTGTGACAGTTTCTCACACTTTCCCGTCTTTGAGGACCTCCACAGTTTTGAGGAGTACTGGTAAGTCATTTTGCAGGATGTCCCGCTATTGGAACTGGAGACACTTCCCTACAAACCGTATACTTTATAGCAAGGATATCTTTCTCTTTATTATCCTTTCTCTATTAAGTGCTCTGCTCTTCACCGCTCATCTCCCAAATAGACGTTTTTAACGAGCTGTCTGCAGAATTCAGAGTGCTCAGTTAGGTCCTTCACTTTGTCCGCTGTTCAGATTCCTGATAAATATAGCCTAAATATCACTGCCCGCGGCCCCGTGGCCGAGTGGTTGGGTTCGCGCGCTCTGCCGGGGCGGCCCTGGGTTTAGCCGGTTCGGATCCTTGGAGCGGACATGGCACCCTCGGGCCATATTGAGGCGGCGTCCCACATGCCACAACTAGAAGGAACCACAACTAAAATATACAACTATGTACTGGGAGGGTTTAGGGAGGAAAAGCAGAGAAAAAAAAAAAAAAAGATTGGCAACAGTTGTTAGCTCAGGTGCCAATATTAAAAAAAAAAAAGTCCCTGCTATGGTCATAGGTAAGATGTAAAAGCATGGAAACACTTCACACAAAGAAAAATAGCAATAGTAATAAAAATTTGACATTTTTATATTAGAAATGATATTTTGAACTGAAATCTATCTTGTAGGTAGTAGGTAGAAGCATAAGGAGACAAGTATAAAGAATAAAATTGCTATTTATTAAATTTTGCACTTATGTGGAAGCAGAACATTTTGATGAGGAAATTTTTTTTCCCCAACTCTATTAATTTCGTGTGGCTGCTGTAACCAATTACCACCACCTGGTTGGTTTAAAACAGGAGCAATGTATTCTCTCACGGTTTTAGAGGCCAGGAATCCAAAATCAAGGTGTTGGCAGGGCACCCCTGGGGGAGAATCTTCTTTGCCTCTTCTAGCATCTGGTGGCCTCAAGCAGTCTTGGCGTGTGGCTGCCTCGTGCGGTCTCTGCCTTGGGGTCGCATTGCCTCCTCTTCTGCCTGTAAAATCTCTCCTGTGTCTCTTATAAGGACACGTCATTGAATTTAGTTCCCACCTGTATAATCCAGGATGATTTCCTCTCAAGATCCTTAGTTAATTGCATCTGCAAAGACCCTTTTTCCAAGTAAGGTCACATTCACGGGGTCCAGGGATGAGGATATAGCTTTTTTGGGACCACCTTTCAGCTCTCTAAACCCACATTATTAAAGTCCATTCATTTCTCTGATATTTAATAAATAATAGTGGTTGTTTCTTTGAGTTTAGGCAGTTTCATGTTATAGACCTTTTCCTAGCATCTTCAGAGTAGTTTTTCTATCTGTTTCAATTCAATTGTAGCTACTATTCAAAACAAGAAAAACTCAATATGTAGCTTCAGACACTTGTAATTTCATTGATTAAGAGTGATGTTAGATTTGGAGGAAAACTGGAAAATGAATGTTTGGGACAAATTCAGAGACATTACTCTAACACGTTTATATTGATGCTTTCAAGTCCCAGAATTTGTAAGTAATCTGTCAACCTCTCAGTTATTCAGTGGACACCATGGCTGGGAACTCCAGTAGGGCATCAATGGGTGCCCCTGCGTGTGGCTTCTCCACGTGGCCTGGCCTTCCTTACAGTGTGGTGGCTAAGGTGGTTGAGCTTACACGACGGCTTGGGGCTCCAAGGTGGGTGTCCCAGCGCACAGAGTGGAAGTTGCATTGTCTGCGTGATACAGCCTCAGAATGAAGACAGCATCAGTTCTGCTGTGTTTTCTGGATGAAGCAGTCAAAGACCCACCCATATTAAAGGGGAGAGGACGTACACCCTACCTCTCAATGAGAGAAGTGGAAGGAATTTGGGGCCATATTATAAAATTGCCACACTGGATTTTGTGCTAATTGAAGTATTCTACATTTCTGCCTCAATAATATCTGCCTGAAAGGTCATTGACTTTGGAACAGTATAGTATTGCCTATATGGCAACAGTCCCCAGGGTTCTATATTGTGCTAGACCTGTGGTTTTCAACCCTGTCTATGCTTTAGCATCACCTGGGGAGATTTTTAAAAATATCAATAACTGAACCCCATATCCAGAGATTTCTAGTTTACTTAATCTGGAATTGGACTTCAGTATTATATATTTTTTCAATGCTTACTATCTTGTTCCTTAGCGTCATGCTAGTTGTATGCTTATTCATTGATTCCTTTGGCTACTTCTGACTCAGTGGTTTCAGAAATGGATCCTCAGGTCCCATCAATGAAGACAGGAAGAGTTGGACAGGTGTGTTACCCTCTGGAGTAGGAGCAGAGGTTCCAAGAGGCTGGCTTTACTAGTTTGTCGCTGTGTCACTGGTTTTTGGAAGGAGTTTGCGTATAAATGAGAAGTCTGATGGGCGGGATGGAGCTATAACAGAAGAATGAGCAGATAGGGCTGTGATCAGGAGAATACACACAGATGATGTCTGACATTCCTCTGTGCAAAAGACTTCTTCCACAGCTTCTCAGACTTGCAAGTAGTGTTTTACCTTTCTGGGGTTCCAAATCCCAAGATTTATCACACTTTACAGAAAGAATGCAGCATACTGAAATAGAATTCCTGTCAGTCAGGCAGTCTAGTTGTCCAGTTTGTGTTTCCGCTGCCTCTGGTATTTCCCTTTTCTTCCACCACTGTGAGCACAGTCATCTTGATGTAGTATCTGTTCTCAAGAGTGCAGTCACAGAGGAGATTAGAAACCGATTTTTCACCCCATGGGTAAGAGAGGCACCTTGGCTTCTTATCCTGGTGACTCTCAGGTCTCTGCGAGTACATCAGCTCAACAGTGGTTGAACTCAGGACTGCCCAAAGACTGACCGTCTGTCTGAGAATATGACACGTTTGCTTCTCTAACTGCCAGCAAGTTCAGAGAAGACAGAAAAGTGGTTCCTGGCTGACCGCTGGTGATGTCAGAAGGAGAATGAGTCCATGACTGGTTCCTGCTCATGGCCTTAGCAACGATAAAAAAAAAATCATATTAATACTAAAGGGCAGTGTGGCTCCCATCTCAAATGACCTCCGGATGTCCAGCTGTTCACAGGGAGGTGCCTAAGCTGTGATTACATGTCCCATGGGGAACAGAGGGAATGCATTCTTTATCTTAACAGACTCCTAGTCCTCCTTAGCACAGTGGAGCAAGATCAGTTCCCTTAATGATTGTGTGATTTGTGTTGTCACTAAATGAAAAGATAGCGTATTTTGTGTGCATGTGTGTATATGTGTGTGAGTGTACCTGTGTGTGCATGTTGAAGGTAAAGATGCAGGGAGGGACTTGTGCTGGAACAAACGTTCCAGACCACAACAGATAGGTGGGATTTTGAGCTGGGCTGGGTGTTTCTGGGAATGATGTGGTGGTGGAGAGTGTGTAGGAGGCACCCCTTTATGAGGAGCCACATTTATGCTGCAGGTTTGGGCGAGGTTGTTGGGAGGGCCCCCAGACTGGGTGGGTCAGTAAAAATGGGGATTGACCTGGAACTGAGATTCTGGAGAAAATGGGGACAAGCTTCCCCTTAATCTCCAGAGCCTTACCCAGAAGGGGAGGAATTCACTTTGAGGAGTAGAGAGACACGGTTTCTAGATCAAGCTTGGCCATGAACTTGCTGGGTGACCTGGAATGAAAGGCATTGCCTCTTAGGCCTCAGTTTTCTCTTAAAGTGGTGGTGCTAATTTGAAAGACTTCCTAAGAACCTGCCAATTCTGTCATTCTAAATCCTTATTGGACACTTACGATATCCTCTTAAAACTATTTGCTTTTGACTCCTAATCTCTTAGTGTGGATATGTAAGAATATTGCTGAAATCACTTTTTTATTTCCATATTTGGTGAAACTGAACACATCCCTACCCATTCTTTTACATTATGTATATACATTTTTAACATCAGACAAAAGACTGACCTTTGTCACCTTTGTTTTTCTAAGCTTAGAACTAAATGGCTGAATATAACTTTTTGTACCTACCTAATAGCCTTATTTTAATAGCATTTATTCATTATAATATGTGTAGGACCAAATGAAAATGTTTTCATTGTCAGTGGAAAGAGGAGTTTGGGGTTAGCAGCTCAGGGGCTGGAAACCTAAGTTTAAATGCTGCAAATATTACCTTTTCCTAACCCAGAGCCGCCTCATCACATGCAGGGCCTCCTACCTTGGAAAAACCAGAGTAGTAGAGCATTGAGCCCAAATGGAGACACAACATTAGCCCAGACCTTCGCTAAACAATGGGAGGAAACGTTCACGTGCGAAGGGTGAGGTATTGTCTACAAGAAGTTCCTGTTAAAATGCAAACTGTTCTGGAAAGAGTGATCATTTAGCCAATGTCGCCCGTTAAGACATCTTCCCTCCAACCATTCCTGGGGGTGAAAATGAGGTTAACCTTAAAGTACAAAACATTGTTTCTGTGTAATACCTTCTATAAATACTGGACTTTCTAGCCTTGTTCAAAGACTCCTCCCGCCTACCCCGTGAATCCTGGGCGTCCCCAGTCGCACATACTCTCAAACAAGTCCTTTCAGCCTTCCCTGACGCCTGGGACCTCTGCTGCCATATGTTGGTTTCTTTCTGCCCGCCCTGGCGATGCGTGCCATCAGGTACCTCCCGCAGCATGGCTACCTCCTGCCAGCGAAGCCGTCGGCACGCAGAGGTCAGCATGCTCTGTGATGCCATCGTGCTCTCCATCAAGGGTGCCACTTGCTGCCGCGGCCATCAGGTGAAGCCAGACCTGGATCTTTGCTGCTTCTAGGACTGGTGTCGCTGCAGATGCTGGTTCTGTGAGGTGCTGCTGCCACAGAGCATGGGAGATGGCCTTGGCCCCCGTCTCGTGCTGTCCTCTCACCCCCCAGCAAGGTCATGTCAGGCCATTGCATCTCTGTGCTGAAATAGGGAGTCAGAGAACAATCTCTTTCTGTTGGTGGTTATGTTTCACTTCTTATCCCTTTTCCTAAGCATTCATCGTGGGACTGGGGTGGGGCCAAATCTGGGTAGTAGAGACTAAGTTATAGTCACAA